AATTTAAGATTATAGTACATAAGGTAGCAATAAAAACTTCTGCTATAAATTTGGAAGTTCGCACTCTGAAGATAATGAAGAGAACTGAGAGCTGTTTGACATAGAATAGCCACAAATCAATAATGTGGCTTGTGAATAGCTGTGAAAAGGGACAAAAGACATTTAAAAATATATTTCAGTTCAAGATTTCCAGAAAAGGAAAGGGGTTGTTTTAGTGGTGTTCTACAAGGCACTAGTCAAATCTCTCCTGGAGCAGTTTTATAATTTTGGTTAACTTCTGAAAGATGAATTCAAGCTTACACAAGCTTAAAGGAGTAAAAAAAAAAAAAAAAAAAAAAAAAAGAGTATTTCTCCTATGGAGGAAATAAAGAGCTGAGCTTATCAATATAAAACCTAAGAGATACTAAAACTACCCTCTATAAAATAGTGCAGAAAGAAGGGTGAACAGTTGTTAAAGTAAATGAAAGGATAATGTTGTCACAAAACCAAATTACTACCTCTGGCCATGGATATACTCAAGGTGGAAATGATTGAGTCTGGAAATGATTTAGATTGTCTCTAGACAATCAGAGAAATTAAATTTGATAATGACCTTCTAATAGACTTTTTGTTCCCACTGACTAATTTTTTAAGAGGAAGTTTGCTAGAATTATGAAGGAGAAGGTATAATGCTCTGCCCACAAGAGCAAGCCTTTTGGTGGCCTAAGAGTCTTCCTAGGAGTGACCTTGTTTGGTTGTGTCCCAACTTTGACTCTCTCCCTAGCTCTCAGCCAACCTCAGATTTGGCTTACCCTGAAAAGATAGTGAGTATGTCCCTTTCAAAGGCAGTTAAATATGAAGTTTAAGTAACAAGCTCTAAGTGAGAGTGAAGGAGATAACTGAAAGAGCCATGGCAAGCCAAGCCAAAATCTTGTGCTTAAGCTACTGCATGGCAATGACTGCAATTTTATGGCCAAAGGCACAGAGAGTGCTGTGGTGTGGTTTGTTCTCAAGCAACCTTTAAAGATCCACTAGTCATTTGAGGAGGCTTGGGGAGAGCCGGAAAGGGAGGTTGGCACTGCCACACTGAGACTTAAATAGGGCTCAAGAGAGACAATGTAAACACCCCTAAGCAAACTGAACAACTATTTTAATGTTTTAAATATTTTAATCACTTCAAAAAAAAAATCCACAGACACAGATCCAGGTGAGCATTTATGATGACTCTATTAAACTGTTGAAGAAAGAGGAGTTGCTTCTTGGATTTACTTTTTCCATTTAGCACACGATTACTAATACCTCTTGAATGAGCCTTTAGTTAAATTCACAATGTAACATCTAGTTCAAGCTTGTACCTTCCTTAGCATCACACTATGTATGTTTGTCTTTTTGCTGTGATAATGGGGAAGGCAAAGTGATATCACACTTGTTATACACAAAACACAACCTCTCTAATTTTTAAATGAACTTTCCTTCACAACCTCCTATGTTATAAACCTTTTAAAATTGACTTTACTTCTCGTGTATACTAAACTCTAAGAGGGTTTGCTGATCCAGTGCAAGATCAAACACAAAGTACTCTGATCAGAGGCATGTCAAAATATTAAAGAACACAGCGACAGCTTGTACTGCTTTATCAGTTAAAACCACATTATACATCAACCACAACCTGTCTGACTTGCGCATTTGATTAAGTTTCCTATTCAGCAGTGACTCATTCGTATTCCATGCTTGTCTGAATGACAAATTGAACATTGTGTTGTACTGCTGCAAGATGTGTTAATAAACAGTGCTGGAAAGACTTGATCTGAAAGGTGCCGCACGAAAGCCACTGCTGGAACAGAGGATGATCTCAAAGCTGCAAAGCACTGCTAGCTGCTCTTTAAGCCAGTGGCTCACACCTACAACCAGAAACCTTCTCAAAAGGTTGGCAGAAGTGGTCTGACGATATAGGAGAGCGGAAGAGGGCACACAATATGTTTCTTGAGTATAATGTTGCTAGTGCAAGCACGCTGCTCTACCGAAGAGATCCTGCATTCCTCCTAGCTGTTAACTGATGCAGAGTGAAACCCCACTCCTCCCTTTTCCTACTCCCTATAAGAAACAAAATGCCAAGCTTCATAGCAGACTAGAGTTGGAAAAATTAATTCTTTCTCCATCAGACAGAAAGATGGAGTGTACATGTCACCTATTTCCTATGTGGTTTCCTTATGTTTCAAAGGAAAAAAAAAATCCCTAAAAATATGTCAGGTCCTTAGTGCCAGTGGAAGCAGTGAAAGATACTCTATCTGTTCTATCTGCTATGCAGTTTTGCAGCTATGCCACTGTATTCACAGACACTAAATAGACATATAAAGGAAACTTTTTTTTTTTAAAAGAAATGTTTATGTAAATGTCTACATGGTAAGATACATTTATTCTTTATTTCATTTATATTTGAGAATAATTTTGCCAAATAAAGCTTTCATTTTGCTCATAAAAAAAAAAAAAACTCTCAGGTATTTTTTGTCTGCTTGGTTATTGCTCAGTCACTAGTAAATCTAGAATTGCCTTCTTTCCAACATTGAATCTTTCACTTTAACAGGAGTTATTTTAAAAATTAATTAATTTTTGATATATAGAGAATAAATTAGATTTAGGACTTAACTATAAGAAAAAGAAATATTTTTGTCATACTTTCTGATTATTTTAGGTGTTGCAACCCATAAGATGCTGAAATAACAAAATATGCCTTCTTTATACATATTAACCTACTTATTTACTTGTTTTTTTTCACTTCATCACTCTAGAGGCTAGTGAACTGATCAGTGAAGGAGTGAAGGTACACACATCACACTGACAACAACAAAGAACGCAGAAGCATTGTTAGCTGCAGAAATGACAGGTTGCTGAAGACAAGGTGGAAAGCAAAAAGCTGTAGCTGCAAGCCTGCTCTCTACTGGTCAGACAGAGATGGGGCAGTGCTGCTCCAAGAGCATAGATGGATGCAAGCACTCGGCAAGAGTCACGGCAATGTTAGCACGTTATATTGCAGTCGTCTTAGGAGGGGAGAGAAAGTGACCCCAAGTCTCAAAACCCTCAAATTCTGGCTTTTAATTTTGAGTCCTAAGCACTGAAAACCCACAAACTGAACAAAACATTTCAAGGGGGGAAAAACAAAACAAAACAAAATGAAAAAAAGAAAGAAAGAAAGAAAGAAAAGGATGTTAGTGTGTCTCATCCAGATCTGTGGGTTTTGTGAATTCTAGAATAAGGTATTTCCCTATTACCTCCCTTAATTTAATATCTAGAGGCAAAGAGGATGATAAAAAGTGTTTGCCATGAGCCTACTGGCATTTCTGTTAAATCATGCCAAAATAAAATAGTCATTAAATATCATGAGTGTAAACACACACTCACCCTGACCAAATGGCA